TTTTTTTTTTTTTTTTTTCTGACAAATCCTCCATTTTATACGTTTGAGCTAATCGACAAGCCTCACTCACGATCCAATGATTTGATGTCAGGAATTTTATCGAAAAAATAAAAATAAGATGACTATATAATAATTACCGAGGCCCTGTGAACAATTTTCGTTCAAAATTTTTCCAACATATGATGACAAAATATAAACTAAATTTAATCGTAGACTAATATAGAATTACTGAAAATGTTAAGGTCCCGTTATGGGATGGTTCAGTCAGTGTTTTTTACCATTAGATACACATGTAGATTATGTTGTGCAGATAATCTGCGGTAACAAACATTAACGGAACCATTCCGTCAAAGGGACTGTAGTCGTTCCCTAAAATTACTATTTGTCAAAATTTTCATAATATTTGGTAACTAATTTATTCAATATTTAACTCAAGCCCCAGAAAAAAAATATATGAATTAGTTTACATGTGAAAAAAAAAATAAATAAATAAATAAATCAAAACATTGTAAAGAGACAGCATATACTATAGCAAATAACATCCACTTTTTCATTAATCCCAAACATAGCATAAAGATAAAAATTACATAAAATTACATAATATTAAGTCCGCCGGTCTCTCGGCAGAGCACAAAGTAAAGCTAAATTAAAGAAAGAGCAAGTTAAACAAGTATTATTACCATATTACATGCAGATATTTATTTATTTATATAAAACGCCATGCAACCAGGAATCCCCACATCAAACTTCACATTGCCTGGGATAATTATGTGGCAGAGCTATCGGCTCGACTTCGGTCTTGCACGACTGGGGCACGGCCGGGATTTTTTCCGAACCCAAGTCGATCGTGCTAATCTTCATGATCTCGACATTTTTGTTCTCGTCAAGAACCACGATTTGCTTCTGTATCTCAGGCAGCTTTTGCTCTTCGATTCTTTCGCTCGGTTTTCGGTACATGAGGTAGAGCACCATTTGGAGGATGCCGAAGGTGAACCCTAGCACGTTCGGGATCTATACAAGAAAAACGATTCATGACAACATAAGACGAACCGTATATATATAATTTTGTTCATATTGCTTGAGATTGAACTTATTAATATTATGTTGGTACAACTAAGATATTCATTGTTTATCGTTATATATATATACGTACGGCAATGTTAAAGTCTTTGAGCAATAAGCCGTAGAAAAACCACATGACGGCGCTAAGCGTGAGGAAGAACGACAAAAGGAACGGCATGTGCTCGACGCTCTTGGTTCGTATAACATGCCTCTGCAAAATTATAAAATATATATAATTTATATAAATATCCAGACATATGAATGATTAATGTGATAAATACTCACATACAAATTTATAAAATATAATTTGCAATTCATATATATATACTTACCACTATGCATAAGGGGGCAACAAACACACACAAAGAGAATATTAGGCAAATCCACCCGACGATGTTTGCACGTTGCACGGGACTTTTCACGAGAAATTGAGTCACAACGATCAATCCCACACCGCAGCCCATGAGCAAAGCCAGAAGCTTAGCCGTTTGAATCTGCATTCAATAAAAATATGTGAAATTAAACAACAAAGAAAATGTAATTAAGAACCGGTTTTTCTAGTAAAATTATATGCGAAATAACGATTTTATTTTCATATTTTTTGCATACCTTTCCCGATCTTGTGGCGTAGACGACATAAAAAACGATGTAAATCGTCTCAATAACGATTCCGACCGAGTTTATGGTGATGAGTAGCGTGGTGTTGGTCTTGAGGAACGCGTAGTATATCCATAGCACGGCACTGAATAGAGCGACGACGTACGGGATTGATTGGTAGCCTTCGCTCGACTTTTTCTTGTAGATTTGGTAGAAAGTCGAGCTGCAATAAATTTATTCGATAAATTTAGACAATGCATAGACATATATACGAAAATTGATTTAAGCAAATTTGACGCCAAGATACAAAGATAACATTTTTCTTACATGGGTGCAAGAAACACCAAGAAGGAGACAATATTGCCTGCATAATAATTCAAAAAAAAAAAAAACACATTGTTATAAACACTTAATTGATGAAAATAATAACTATAAAGACATTATAATCATTCATGATTTTAAATTCTCAATCTAACTTGGAAATTAGTTTATAATTTGAAATTAATGATTGGAAAATATATACAACACTATAAAATATGGGGAAATGAAACAGTCCCGTTACGGAACCATTCTGTCGGGATATGTAACCATTAGATCATCATGGAACAGCCGTGGATAATTGATGGATAGTTGATCTAACGGTTACAAACTCCGACGGATTATTTGTTTACCAAGAAGTCCAAACACAAATGTCCAGTGTCCAGCGAGAAGTGCCATTTTTTCTCTCTCGAAAAAATAAAAGTTAAAACACTTGAAGAAATGGGGATGTTCGAAAGTGAAAAACTTAGTGTGTTTGATGGCTAACAATGAATGGCGATGGTACGTATTTATAAAGAACAAATACGGGCACTTGTAACGTTAGCCAAAAATATGATTAACCTAAAGTGCATGCACAAAAGAAAAAGGCACCCCCTTTATTTGCTTGGATATTATATTTTGCTGCATGGTGGGGGCATATTGGTCATTTCACCATCCGTGCAAATATGCTAGAGTATGAGGATTCAATTTTCGGGTAAATTATAAATTCTGCCCCCTAAATTATAGATATATAGATTTTTTACTCTGAATTACCCTGTTGGAGTCGATTCTAGGCGGTCTTTCGACATGTCCTTCCACTTTTTCAGTTATTGGTTGTTTGTATTCAGCAGGTGGCTGTCCTTTAGCACATATGTGCGCGTTATATAATATTTCTATCGTTTAGAAAAAAAAAATTACTCTTATTACCTGTAAGTCTAACTGATTGTTAGGTAAACATACTTCTTTTGATTTTTTAACTGAAATATAATACTCTAAAAATAATCTACATGTTTTATTATTATATTATGGTAAAAGTACGAGTGATTTTGTAAAATAAAAACTAATCTACCTAAAAAATTCTTATTTTGACATATTTTTAATGACAAATTAGTAATACATTAATACTCATCATATCTAATATTTTTAATTAATAACTATTATTTTATCAAAAAATGCTTACTTTGACATATGCCTACATAATTAATTAAATACAAATACACAAACAAAGCAGTTCACATATCTTAAAAATCAATTACAATATTCTCGCACTATTATTCCTCACGATTTTGCTCTCTTCCACATATCTCTCAAATTGTTTTCTTTCATATCTCCCAAAAATCAACTCAACATCAACCCAAACAACAAAGCTTTAAAATGATATAGAATTGTTGTTTTGAAAAATTTCCTTATTTTTAATATAATTTTAATTATAAATCGTAGTAATATTTAATAATTCTAATATATAAATATTCTGTAAAGAAAAACTAATGCAACAAACACAACATTATAAATGCTTATAAGGAATTCAAATATTTTCAATTATGTTTTATATATCTACAATTTTAACAAAACGATAAATTTTGATAAAAAAATATAACTAGTTGTTTAGCAAAGTTTTGGTGGGCAAAGGATAACCGAGTTACCCGACTCGGATAGTTCTCAAAGGAAGGCGATTTGGAGCTTTATCTACTACTTGATTGCCCAAATCACAAAAAGAGAAAATAAAATCCTAAACATGCTAATCAATTAGATTGAGATTGGATTTAACACTAAGAGAGTAATTAACTAATAGCAATATCAAATCACGAGCAAATAACGAAGCTAGACCATTGGAGTCTCATGCCACCAACACAACGAGATGATAATCAACGACAAAGAGGAATAAACGAGCTATGAGCACTAGATCATTAACTCTAGCCTTCTAAACCTAAGTAATTAAGCCCTAATCGGGTCTTAAACCTTTAACCGAGATCGACAAGCAATTAATCCATATAACTACTCAAGCAAGCATCCCAAGCAATCAAGTCCAAACCATCCCTCCATCATCAATCATACTCAAATTTACCCTAATAAACATTATAAGTAAAAACGAGGCAAAAATCGAAGTAAAGAGCTTTAAAACTAAATACTCATTCTTCCATTGCATTGACGATGAAAAACGGAGTCATAAGCTCGAAACTTGAAAAAAACGAAAGTCGTCGGAAAACCTCCCGGAAAATAGCATAAGCTCCTTAGTCTAGAGAGCAAACATAAACATAAACTAAGAACCAAAAAAGGAAAAATGAAATAATGATTGCTCGACCTTGAGACCTGAGCCTGCTCTTCGAGCTAAACCACTTTGGCCCTTTCTTTAGAGTTCCTTTGCTTGCTAGGATATGACTTGCATTGCTTTCCCAACGGCTAAAGAATACATTCCAGGGAATTCTATTATAGTTGGATCCCCAAAATACAAAGGAAGAAAAATATATATACTCCACTCAAAACACACACTAGAAACACGCAGATTAAATGAGACACTCTCGACGTCTCCATGAAATCAGTGAGCTCGCAAGCAGTGATAGGCACGGGCGCGGGCATGCAAAAAAGGCACTCTCGATGTAGCAGGAGGATCCGCGTGCGCGCGAGCTACAAAATCTCGCACTCTCGACCTCGCCGCAATTTCCGCGAGTTCGCGAGCTTCCTCAGCAACAGTGTAGCGGCACTCTCGAGCTCGCGAGTCCTTCCGCGTGTGCGCGAGCTCCTGGGTGTGGTTTCACGAGTCCGCGTGGTCGCGGGCGCAGGCGCAGCGTCGCGAGTTTTGGGCCATGTGCGCGATTGGTTGCTGTTGTGCATCCGCGTGGTCCTGGGTCTCGGCGCGGGGTCGCGAGTGGGCAGGTCAAGGCACGTCCGGGCTCGACTAAGGACTCGACATACTCGATTGGAAATGGTTCGTGCGAATGACTCGAAACTCCTCGGAAATCTTGGGAAAAATCGTCTCGACTCTCCTCATTCATCCTCAAAATAGTCCTGAAATTTCACCACAAAGCACGGAAAAGTACGCCGAAAATAAAAACATAAAACATACGACATACGATAAAATAGACCGGTCGACACTAAAACAAACCTAAAACCGACTCGATAACACACATAAACACATGAAAATAAGCACAAAAACACAACAAACACTAGTTAAGGACATAAATACTGCAAATAAATAAGAAGTTAATAGGGACATAAATACTGGAAATCCAAATGATGTGTGAAAGAAACAACTCTAAATCATTGCAACATGTAAGATGGTCAATGATTTGCAAACAGTAGATTATTTAATTCGTTTATCTTTCAAATAAATAACATTGAAAAGTGAATGTCGGAGTCTGATAAAAACATACTTGAATGTTTGATGAAGTTGTCATTCTTTTATGTGTATATTAACAATTTCATTGGTGTATTGTGCTCGAGCATATGTACAATTACTTTAGAGTACGTAACTTTCATGTAATGTGTGATGATATAAAAAAAAAACCAAATAACACCTTGAATGAAGTAAATAACCAAAATTTTGTAAAGTTAACTTATATCTTGAAATGAAATTCATTCCACCACACAGGGCGATGCATGAGATATGTACCAATTTGTCAATATATAGAGAGAGAGCTGTAATAATTTATATAATAATAAAAAATAATCAGCAATTTTAATTACACAACTGGTTATGTCACTGTGATATTCATGAAATGTTATTAGAAATATCTTATAAATATCATACAATCATGAAGTTTAACTTTATATTTAAGCAGAATATTTTTAAACGTTTGAATAAAGTATATGTTTTGCCCAATGAATTAAGAAGAATTTTGCAATACTATTGATGTGCTGAGCTCCAACGGATATGATTCTTTCTTGTGAGAACGACAAAACAAAATTAAAAAAAAAAAATAATTTTGAGTCATCATACCTAAATAAAAAAAGAACTAATGCATCTGTAATATATATTAGGTCCTTATTTAGTTATTTATTAGCTTTTTTATTTTCTACTAAGAACTCATTTTTCATATATTTTTGTTGGGGTTGTAATGTGTTGTTTCAATCTTGTTATAGTAGGACATGATTATGCTATTTAAAATATATATATAATAGGAGTTCATTTGTTTACATGTTATTTTGTTCATGAAATGATTATATTTTATATATTAATTGCCTTATCTTACTGAACTTAATCGGCAAAAAAACATTCACCACCGTGTGCATCGCCCGTGAACTTTACTAGCACGATCAAAAGTATGGCATTTCAAAATATTGGTAGTTGTTGTTGTACAAATGTATGACGGGCCGAGCTTGCAGTCTCACACACGAATTTGTGGTTTTTAGCAATAAGTTACTATGTTATGGTCATCTATAAACAGTGTCGCAAGAAACGATTGTATTTTAAATATAATTTTTATCCGAACAAAAGTGTAATATTTCAAACTATAATTAGTATGTGTTACTGTTACAAATGTATGACGGGCCGACCTAGCCATCTCACACAATAAAAAATTATGGTTTATGTTGTAAAAAAATATATTTACACCAAGTACAAGATGAATCCCGACCTTGGGTCGATCTCTCGAGGAAAGTGGTTCGAAATCTAGAACTGGTGTCAATCAAACACGAAAAGAAAATAAGTCCTAAACATTCTAATCACAGAAAAATTGGTGAAATTATCTAAGACTACTAAAACAATTAAAAACAAATAAGTACCAATAAAATCACTAGAGAAGTAGAAGGAGTTATACGGGTTGGGATAATTGCTTCAAATCTTAAATCTATATCTAATGTATTAGTGTTCGGTTTAAATACTTAGCCCATCACCTAACGCCATGTGGTTTGCTCCCAATAAGTCTCGTAAACATAATGCTTAAGAGATGCACAAACGTAGAGGTCTATCCCTAACACGAGTTCGGACACAGACAAATACATACTTCAGTCAATAAACCCATAGACAATACAATTACGAACGCATTTATCCTATTTGGTTTATGGTTGGATATCCTTTCTTTTTCTAGGTTCTAGGTTATCAATTTAGACTAGATGGTGATCAATCAACTAAACATTTTAATCAAGCAATTCGAACAAGTATAAACATTACACATTCAACAGAAATTCAAAACGAGAATCGAAACCGGCAACCCATGTGGATGAATTAGCTCGTGCTTGGATTCAATTCATGTTAATCAAACAAAAGAAGTTTACATTCACTCAACAATAATAAAGAAGAATTAAAATATTACAATCACCATGAGATGCAAGAATTCAATCCCAATCTAAAAAGGCTCTAAGAATCCAAACGTAAGCAAAAAGAAAAAAATAGAGAAAAAAATCAAGTGGTAACTTGGTATCCTTTTTCAAGGTCTTTTAGGTTGTTTTTCGTGTTCATTCCCCTTTTTTTATGGATTCAA